GTTTACTCCACAATTGAGTGACGTAATCTAGGAGGTCCCCTGTGGATCGTTGGTGCCGGAAACCATACTGCCTGTCGCTAATCAAGCCGTGACGTTCGAGGTAGTCCAGAAGCTCGCGATTTATGCACCTCTCTATCACCTTACTTAAAACAGAAAGCAGAGCTATAGGCCTGTAGTTGTAAGGGTCGGTCTTAGATCCCTTTTTTGGGATGGGTTGGACATGAGCAAATTTCCCGTTTTCTGGGAAGGTGCCGGATTCATAAGATATCTGGAAGAGACGCGAAAGAACTGGAGCAAGCTCCGGTGCACACCTCTTCAGTACAATGGCAGGAATCAAGTCCGGACCAGAAGCTTTGTTGATGTCGAGCGACAAGAGCACTCGTCTTACGGTCTTAGGCCTGAATGTTACCTCCCGCATAGTGTAGGGAATCGTTTGAATTGACGGCACTTGGGCGTTGACCGAAACCTAACCTCCACAACACACACAACAGAAAGAGATCCAGAAGGCTACTGGCGTGTGACGAGATGTGGGGGAAAAAAGTAGGACTCGTCGCCAGCTGAGTCAGCCCTTGGGTAAGAGCGAACGCTTCGACTGCACAACCTGCTGCGTCGGTCTTGTTTGAGCCCAACCAAAGCTCGTTATGGGCATTGAAATCACCGAGAAGAACTACCTCTGAAGCGGGATGATTGATGTTCAGGAAGTCGATCTGGACGGCGAGGTATTCGAGTAAGTCATCCCAGTTATGATCCGAGGGAGAGCGATAAAGGCAGCAAATAAACTTGGGTGATGTTTTGGAGTTGAGGCGAAGCCACAGAATGTCCTTCCGGTCTGATTCCAAAGAAACATCTCTGGAGCAGGAAAGACTGCTGCGGACAAAAGCCACAACTCCCCCGTTCTTTCTCAGATTGGAGTGCACCTCGTAGTTCGGGAAGTTAAGATGGTTAATCGGTGCAGACTCTGAGATTTTTGTCTCTGCCAAGAAAAGCACGGCGGGACGATTGGATTGCAGGTAGTGATCATCAGCATCAATGTTGCTGTTAATCCCGCAGATGTTCGAAAAACAAATTTTATCTTCGATGTTGGTCCCTCGAGCCCGAACATTCCGAGAGTGGAGTGAGTTTACGTCCGGAGTTTTTAGTGCTCGAGGGATCCATCATCATTAATTTCTTTGTTTTGGAGGATAACCGACTGCATAGCTTAGGTGTGGAAACATGCGGACATTCATAAGACACCCTGGGAAAAGCTAGAGGGTGGTACAGCCTCGGTCGACTGATCCTTATCTACCACCTTCTTTTTACGTGTTAGTGATGTTAAATAGACCTAAAGTGGCCCGTTGGCGGACTTGTACCGCCACCCGGCAATCGGTACTGAGGTATTCCTTAACGCGTGGACAATCACTTGAACGAGAAGAAGTTGTGTACTGGATACAACAACTTCCGGAACAAGCATTTGCCACGGCCCCCACTCAGTAGAGATCGGGTGCGTTGGGGATCATTGATTCGGTTTCGAGATAATCCTGAACATTTATCTGGATTCGGCTTAAGGCGTCAGCAACTAAGTTTGTTTTGCCTTTTTTGTATTCCTCAAGTTTGATTTTCCATCTAATTAATCTTTGGTTTGGTTCTTTCAAATTTGATAACCACACCAAAGGTTTATGATCAGTCTCAATCAGAAATCTATGTCCAAATAAATATGATCTAAAGTGTTTTCATGAATCAATAATGGCTAAGAGTTCTTTTTCAATGGTGGAATAATTTCGTTCAGCAGAGTTTAATGTTCTTGAATGAAAACTAATAGGTCTTCCGTCTTGTGATAGAACACTTCCTATCGCAATATTTCAGGCGTCGGTTGTTAACGTGAACGTTTTTGAAAAATCAGGATATTGGAGTACGGGTGAATTAGTGATAGTCTTTCTTATTACATCAAAAGCTTGAATGTAATCAGGATCTGAAATGTTGATTTTCTCGTCTTTCTTTAAACATTTAGTGAAAGGTTTGGTAATTTTGGCAAAGTCTTTAATGAATTTTCTGTAATAGTTGGTTAATCCTAAAAATGATTGAATTTGTTTGATAGTTTTTGGTATTGGAAAATCTTGAATGCATCTGATTTTATCCGGATTTGTTTTAATTCCGTTTGGCGTTATTACATGTCCCAGAAATGGAACGTTTGTTCTTAGGAACACTGTTTTGTCAAGTTGTATTTTCAATTGATGTTTAATTCAAGCTTGAAATACAGATTTCAAATGAATAAGGTGGTCTTGCAATGATTTTGAGAAAATTATTATGTCATCTAAATAGATGAAACATATTTTTCCGATGTACGGTTTTAAAACAAAATTCATCATTCTTTCTAATGTTGCTGGAGCGTTTTTCAGTCCGAAGGGCATTCGTAAGTATTCATAGTGCCCGTTGTCGACGGTGAAGGCAGCCTTTTCAATTGAGTCTTTGTGCATCGGAATCTGATGGAATCCTTGTGCTAGATCTAACGTTGAAAAATATTTGGCTTTGCCTAAACTCTCTAATATTTCTTCAGTTCGGGGCAAAGGATATTTATCTTCGATAGTAATGTCATTTAGTTTACGAAAATCGATTACCATGCGATATTTTTTAACGCCGGAAGCGTCAGGCTTCTTATTTATGATCCATACAGGTGATGAGTACGGACTTGTACTGGGACGGATGATGTCATCTTGCAAAAGTTTAGCGACTTGTGAATTTCGGTTTTTAAATAGATTGGATAGCGAAAAGATTTTACAAATATTGGGTCGTCGTGTTTTGTTCTGATAGAATGAGATGCTACGGTACATGGCTCTAATTTTTCGTTAGGTTTTAGAAAAGCTTCAGGAAATTTTCTACAAAGTTCTGTTATCTTATATTTTTCCTCGTCATTCATGTGATCAGTTCTTATTAAAGTTCCAATATCAGTTAAATTACATTCATTCTGGGGTGTTTCAATTTCGTAATTATCCAAATTGCCGTATTTGATGCATTGATAGTTTAAATCTAACAGATTTGGATTTTCTGGGTATAGTACTTCGTAATTATTAACGGTACAAATCATTTCGGGTGTGTAATCGTTAGAATTTAGATATTTAATAGGTGGAACGATAATTTGTCCATTTTTGATTGGGGATTTTAGAACTTGATTTTTGATTACAGTGTTCGGGACTTTACGGGGTATTTTGTCAGTGTGGCAAATAAAGTTTAAACGATCAATGGGTAGCAAATTCTTAGTTGTTTGTAAAGTAGCTTGAAATTTTTGTAGATCATAATATCCTAGCAAACAGTCAAAACGTTCGTGCCAGTCTAAAATGAGAAATTCAATTTCAGTGTTAATGCTATGTTCATTGAACAAAGGAATTCGCAAAGCGTATTCACCGTGTTTAGTACCAATGACAGATTTTATTGAAAAGTGTTTTGGATAAATGTAATCTGGAAAATAATTGAAAGCAATTTGAGTGTTGATCAAAGAGACAGATGCACCAGTGTCTATAAGAACTAGCAAATCTAAATTTTGTAAATAAATGTATGGAAAATGTGTGTTCTCATAATTATTGAGATCTAAATCAATGGGTTTTGATTTGGGGCTTTCGGAAAATTTTGAGTTGTCTCTTCAGGGGGAAACTCGACAGTAGGGTTACTATCTGAATTTTCATATTCTTGTTGGTCATAATTTTCATAATTTGGATCATAGTATTGCTGTTCATCGTATTCTTGTTCGTTTTGTGATTGTTCGGTCGCTTCGGTGTTGGTTAGTTCTTCAGCGATAAAATTTGGTCTTTGTCCGTGATTTGAGAAAAAGTTAGGACGGTATTGATTCTGTTGTTGCGAGGGGCGGTTCGTAATAGTTGATGTAGACATGGGTGTCGGTTTAAAGTTTTTTGGTGGACCTTGGCTATTTTGTGGTTGAATTTGTCTTTGAAATTGATTATTAAAATAATTTGGTCTGATGTTAATCGGGCCAGTTGGGAAGTTAGATCGTTGTGGCTGTTGGTAAAATTGCGGATTGTAAAATTGTTGGTTTGAAGGGAATCGCCACATAGGTGTATTTTGAACGGAATTTGTAGGTTTCGGTTTTTGAATGGCGTTAGTATTTTTGGTATTTTGTTTAGTAAATACTTTGCATTGCGATTGTATTTGTAAATTATCGTATTTTCGACAAATTTATAAGGCAGCTTGAAGAGTTGTAGGTGTTGCGTTAAATAGGAGTGATTTATATGGTTCTTTAATACCAGTTAGAAATGAATTTAATGCAGCTTCTGTGTAAAGGTCGACTATAGATTGAGCAACTACATCAGAAAATTCCAAAAGAGCATATTCTCTAAGAATATGTATTTTTTGCAAAATTTCAGTATGAAAATTCATATAGTTTGTGTACTGGGATAAATTTCTAAGTTCATCAAGTAGCATTCATTCGGATTTTGAATCTTTGTAACGTTCTTTGAGAATTTCTTCAAATTTTTGACAAGTTTGAGGATTATTTCGTTCAACGATAATAGAAGGTTTATAATAGTTTGGATGTTACGTACGATAAAGCATGAATTTGATATGGGCCATGCAAAGCGGCAACAAATTCTCTAGATTTACGTAAATATACAGATAAATTATTTGATATTTCAGAAAAAATAGGCACACTATCTTTCAATAGGTTAAATAACATTTGTGGATTGTCAGCCATGGTTGTTCTGAATTCCTCTCTAACGTTAGCTTGGTTTTTTACTGGTTGTCTTCTAATGGGTGATCGTTCTCGTACTGGAGATTTACCAAAAGTTTCTTTGACTAAATAGATGAAATGGATTTGGCTTACTCTAGCGCTATGTGAAAAATCAAATTTTTCATAACGGAGACTGCTCTGGTTCTTGTAGCTCTCTGTTTCTCTAGGCTCGTTCTGCAGGGACCTCGGACGTGGCTCTCAGGTTCTCAGATCGTTTCTCTTACGGAAGTGGATACTTCCTACCTCACAATGGTTGGTCATACAGAAGGGACATAGTTCAGCTCACCTGATGAATCTCGAAGATTTTACTGATGGTTGGCTGGGCTCGTACAAACTTCCAGATGTTTTCCACGAAGGCGTATAACGATCCTGTTCGCAGCGCCAGATAAAGACTGCACACGTCGTATGGTAAAAAAATAACAGACTTTATTGCAGGAACGAAGAGTGGTTACAAGTATTGAACAAAATCTGTCTGTGCCTCGATATAATTCTAATCTTTATAGGAAAAATAACAGAGCTGTATCGAAAAAAAAAAGTAAAAAGCGAATATTTCTTAATGGGCTTGCTTGCCATACAATTCAATTTGTTGGAATAATGGGCTTGTACCACATAGTTATGTTACCAACAGGATTCCATAACTTATATATACAACTAACTGTTAATTGGGAAATTGGCAAACTTTTTAGGCTTTATTTAACTCTTTTGACGGTAATCTCTAACTCTCGGCAATTCTCTATGGGAGCTGAAAACACAATTATGATGCTAGCAACCAATACGGGAAAGATTTAAATTGTCAAACAACTTACTCGTCGTTGAGGTTGCAGCCAAATCGAATGCGGGGATGAGAGCACTAGTTACAAATGTACAACCAATCGGACGGACACATTGGGCTTATTGATAACGACGGATACTATCGTTAGGTGTTAACACTCTAAATCAATATACCCGAAACATACTAAAAATTAACGAGAAGCAATTTTGGGGACAAAACCGGACCGTCGTTTCTAACCCTCTACATCCGTTTCACGTGGAGAAGATGGACGGAACGGAAAGATGATGCGTCGACAGATGACATGTGATTGTCGCGACGGAATGTGAAACTGTAAACATCATTGTCAAATTTGGGTATAATGTATACGAAGGACGCTTGGTAAAACCTCATTATAATTACCAAAATGCTGAATTTGATTTGTTCTGGAGAAAAGTGTAGTTTATATGAGTGTACGAGTGTAAGATAGTGATCCACGCTTGAAAAGATGGGTTGTGTGAGTTTATATTAATGTTTTTTTTATTACTTGCGTGAGTGAAATGCTTCAATTAACAGGATAAACAATTGGAAATGTATTTTAATTTTGGGACGACGTTAGATCGACTGGGATATGTAGTCGTTCTAACTTTTCGTAATTCAACAGGTAGGAATAAATGACACTAAGCACAAGTACATCTCTCTGGATGTAATCTGGCGTCACTTTTGTGTGAGGTTATCCTGCCTTTCAGTGATCTCGATGTTTGGCCTATAGAAACTAAATTACAGTTGTTGCAATTAATGCGATAGACAGTGTTGGTTGAATCAAACAACTGAACCCTATGCTTCATTTTGGAAAACAAACTGTTGACTGTGAGCACTGATTTACAAGCAAACCGACAATTAAAGGAATTACACAGCCTGATCAATTTTGGTGCTAATTCTTTGATGTATGGCAAGACAACATAATTAACTCTGGAAATAGAAGCATCCACTGTAATGCTGTTATTCTCATTGGTTAAAGAGTTCATGGGCGTCGGGTTAGATAGAACAGTGTTGTCATTTTCACTATTGTTATTCGCAATTGGCAAAATATTCGGAGGAGAGCTGAACAAGATTCTGTTAACCAAATAGTTCGGATAACCATTATTAATGATTAAGATTGAAAGCTTCCTTAAATTGGAAAGATGGAAAGTATTGTCAGAGATATTTGTTACCCTGTTCTTCACTTGTTTCACCAGGTTTATTTTTATTTTAAGTTCGTGGTAAGACCTGAAGTTCAGGAACCTTTCAGAAGAAATTGGTTTCCTGTACCAGTCTACCAGTAATATATTTTCGTTGGTGCGAATCAATCTTGAATCCAAAAAGGGAACTGATTGTCATCTTCTTTTTCGATGGTGAACTGGATGTAGGGATCATAACTGTTAAAAACTTCAACAATATCATCCACCCTTTCATAAGGAAGACAAACGGTAGTATCGTCCACATATTTTTTATGAAGATTAGATTGTATGGCAGTATCTGAATAACAATATCAAGCAGGTCGTCCATCACATAGTCTGCAAAAATTGGAGATAACACAGAGCTTATTGGGCAACGATGTGTTTGTGAGAACACTTTGTTATTAAAAGTGAAATAATTGTTCTGAAAAAGGTACTCTAAGATATTAATGAAAGAATCCAGAGTTAGGCTGATGTGTTAGCATATTTGATCCCAATGTTTGCTGTTGGATCTAATCCAAGCTTCCAAATAAACATTACTGAACAGTGAAACTATCTAGACTAGCAAGAGTCTTTTATAAAGTATTCTCCTCTGATGTGAGCTGACTTTAAAGTATCTGCAATTAGTGAGGATAAAGCTAGTGTGGCTGATTCAACAGAACCCACAATAGGTCTTACTGACAAAACCGGTTTATAAATTTTGAGAAGAGCATAACTTTTAGGAAAGACGGCAACGTTGTAGATTATTACACAGTATTACATGTCGCTCCTAAAAAGTCTCTGAAATTTCGGGAAAACGTGCCTTTAAAAATCTAATAATTTCAAGTGATGTATTAGTGCGATCAGTCACTAATACATTTACCGTTGTGAGCAAGAAATTGAGCTAATTTGACATTGATTTACATGAAATCAAGCATCGTTGGTGGAAAAAACTAAATTCCTTATCTGCGTAGTGTAATAATCTCTCAGTCAGAAAGAGAAGTAACTTATCCAACACCAAGTCTTTGATTGGTTGATTCTCAAGATAATCAAGTCTCTTTGGAAACTTCTACGATGCCGGTGCGAACAACATGCAAATGCTGTAATCAAGCTTGTGACAATCACTTGCTCAGTATGTAAAGACAAATATAAATATAGCTATGTCGATAATACTGCTGATGAAGTTCGGACCTTGAACTCCAACAAAGGCTATGATTGGACCTGTGCTAGCTGTAGAGTAATTGGTAAAGACGTAAAGGATTTGAAGTCACTTATCATTCAGCTCCAAAGTGAAATTAAGGAGCTAAAAGCTGATGGTATGTCGAACAAGAGGATGGATTTTGACTTTGAAGATGTAGTTGCGGAACTCACAGAAAGACAGAAAACGACAAACAATATTATAGTTTTCAATATTGAAGAACTAGATCAGGGAAAATCTCCTGACGATAGAGCCGAATGTGACAAAGCTGCAGTTAAGGAAATTTTGCGATGTGTTTCACCTAAATTGTCGCCTATTGATTTGAAGCCAATTCGACTTGGACGATATACTGCTTCGAGGAAAAGACCTGTCAAGATGGTATTCAAAGATAATGATACAGTTCGAAATATACTAAGACTCTAGTAATTTGAAAAATAGTATTTACAAATTGAGCTATATAAGGCTGTCAAGTAAGAACTGACAGATCGGAGAAATGCAGGGGAAATGAATATTCGAATCAAATATATCAACGATGTACCAAAAATTGAGGCTTTAAACTGAATGAGCCCAGCAGTTCTTTTGACAAGGAGGAGGTATCTTTCTACTACCACAATATGAGGGGCTTGAATTCAAAATTTGATTGCTCTTATACATCTCAATCAGTGGGTGAGTTTGACATTATTGTGATCACTGAAACGTGACTCAAAGATGGAACGCGGAGTGAAGAACTTTTTTCGGACACTTACCAGGTATTTAGACAGGACCGTAGACTAGATGTATTAAATATGTCCACAGGTGGTGGAGTTTTGATTGCAATTAGAGATTAAATCAATGTCATACCTGTTGATACCTTGTTTTTCAATGATAGTTTCCCCTGTATTGATTTTTTGTGTTGTAAGTACTACATTTCTCAAGTCACATGCTACGTAATTGCATTGTATATCCCCCCTACCTTAACCTGACTTTGATCACTTTTTTGAGGATATAGAAGAATGGGACTTAATATATGGCGCAAAAGTAATTATGTTTGATGACTTTTACGTACCTAAATTTATCCTAAATGATGGTGATAGTAAAACAATAAATAATTTTATGTATCTCCTAATGTAATGAACACATGCAACAGGCTCTTAGATTTAGTATTGAGCAATGTTGTGTGCACTACTGAGTGTGACCATATTCCTCTAGTGCAACCTGATGACCATCATCCTGCTCTTATCAATAAGCTTCCTCATATTAATCATCAGGAACCATTATTTGGCACCAATAAGCATTCTAAAGTATATAATTTTAAAAAAGTCGACTTTGTTGCATTATACAATGAGTTAACTATTATTGATTGGTCATTTTTTAAAGCAATTCACGATGTTGATAAAGCAATTGACGAGTTTTACAAAAAGTTTTATGGAATCTTGGATAAGCATGTACCATTATCCAAAAACTTCAAGCGGAAGTTTTCAAGATGGTATAATTCGTCAATACATAAAAGAAGGCAAGAAGCCATCGTAAATGGAAACAAACTAAAAACAATTTTTTCAGAAACGAGTTCATTAGACTAAGATCACTCATCAAATCACAATTAAAGGTTGCGTATGAAAGCTATTTGCAAGAAGTTCAAGAGTCGGTGAGAAATAACCCCCCTTCTTTTTGGTCATTTATATATCAAAAGAACAAAACATCGCGGATTCCATGTCATATGACTCATCTGAATAATGATTTCGGTGATCCTCAGTCAATTGTAAATGCTTTCGCTGAATTTTTTAAGAAAGTTTACTTGCCATCTGATAATTATTGCGGTGAAAACCTTCTAACATCCATTGTACGAGTCTTGTCAACTTAACTCAGGAGAGTATAACTCAAAATGAAATATGTGATGCAGCAAAAAAAACTGAAGTCCAAGATGACCTGAGGGCCAGATAAGCTCCCCTCTTTCCTGGTCAAGGATTGTGTGCTTGGTATAGTAGATGCTCTGGTTATTCTTTTTAATCTCATATTATCTACAGCTAAATTCCCAGATAAATGGAAGGAAACCAGGGTTTGTCCTATTTACAAAGCGGGTGACCGTGATTGAGAACTATAGATGGATCTCAATATTGAATAATTTTGCCAAGTTATTTGAAATAATTCTTAACAACCACATTTACCTTTCCACCTATAGTCAAATATCCGAGTTCCACCATGGGTTCATGTGTGGTAAGTCAACTGTCACCAATTTGGCAGTATTCACTCAGTTAGCCTCGAATGTCCTAGATAATCGGGGACAGTTGGATACAGTTTACACTGACTTTTCTAAAGCCTTCGATAAGGTTGATCAGGTTGATTGCTAAGCTGGGTTCATTTGGTTTTACTGACAAATCAATATCGTTATTAATGTCTTACTTGTGGAAGCGACAGCTGTACGTTTCTTGCAATGGTTTCAAATCGTTTCGAT